AAGCTTGTTCCCTCTTCTCCCTTACCATTACATTTCCTTGTGACATATCTCTGATGAATATATATATATATATATATATATATATATATATATATATATATATATATATATATATATATATTCATCATGTAGTGATAATTGCGGCATAAACTGTATTCTACTGGAAGATTAATAGTCTGGTGAAGATAACATTTAGTTTGTCCTCTCGCCCGGCCAAAGAAAATCCAGATCCGTCGAGTGGTGCGTTAAGAACTGCTTGGAACGAGGCAGAAGCTAATCCTTCCTTTAGCACACATAACTCCGACATATACGGTATACTTTTCCTATCATCATTTTGGTTTATAGCAGAAGATCAAACAGCAATCCCATAGCTACCATCCACATCTAATAAGCTGTGATCTGTTCAGCTCCTGCTGCAACCAACAGGCTGCCTCCTCATGATGACTACCAGAATCTCTCTATTCAAGTGATTAGTCTGCAATATGTTCAAAGAGATACTGACGTACTAATATATATATAGTCTCAAGGCCCCAAAAAAGATCTGTTTTTAATGTTTCAGATCTCAATTTGTGATCGCCAGCACTTCAGAGCACAATTGAACTCCTGCTTCACCCTCTTGACAATCCTGAAAGAGCCAAGAGTGATAACCTTTTTTTCAGCATCACTAGGATTACATGTAAATGGATTCATTTTGTATCTACGTTCATCATTTTGAGCATCTGAGCTGATACACTTGTCAAAGTACCTTACATGTGAATTGACTTCTAATAAACCATGCAATTTGAGGGTGTAGGAGTTTTGCTGAAGTTGGATTGGAATTGGTCCTGCTCTTGCTATTCTAGCGACTGCTAAGGCTGCTAATCTTCAGCTTGGTGACACTGACTGATCTCTTAGAAATAATTGAGGTAATAATGCAGAAGCTACTATAGCATTGAAATTAATTGTAAAGAACAAAAGGCAAAACCTTTATTCCTTTTCTTCTTTCTTTCTAGGTTTTCTCGTTTCAATTTGTGTATCGTTGCAGAAAGCTGAAGTTGCACCACACGTAGCTACAAATGTAAGTCTATTTCATTTGTGATATATATTTTAAAGAATTTTAAGGTCAAATTTCCGAGAACAACCTTTTCCTCGGTAGCGTCCCCGTTTTCAAAAATCTTTAGTTGTTCTTTTCTTCTTCTAAGACATGGAAAACCCTAACCATATATGTCTTTCTTCTCATTTTTCATATGGATCAGTGAACCAATTCAATTATAATATTTTTTTTATAATATATTATAATTTTTTTAATAATATAAGAAAATAATATAATATAGTACAAAAATAGTATAATATAGTATTTTTGTAATATGTTATAATATTTTCTTGATATTACTTAAAAAATTATAATGTAGCATAAAAATACTATAATATAATTTTTTTTGATATTACTACAAATATTATAACCAGATCAATCCATTAAAAAAAAGAAAAAAATAGAGAGAGAAAAGGAGTTGGTGTACAGTCAAATGAAAGTTTTTTAGGTATTAAGTAAAAGGGACATTATTAGAAAATTTTAGAAATGATGATACTTTTGGAGAAAAAACTAAAAAAATTTAAAAATCTGCTCAAATTTTAATAGTTGCTGATAAGAGGTAAATGACATGGTCGGTATGTTCGTCCAAATTTTAATAGTTACTGATAAATGATAAATAACATGGTCCACACATTCATTGTTCAAGGCCGCATCGACCACACATGATTGACAGGTCGTAGATGGTTTAGGCAACGCATTAGCATCGCATAACTATACGTGGTCGATAGGTGATAGATGGCTCGGATAGTACACATGTACCATGTGATTACGAAAATTTCGTAGGACCTTCTAGGTTAAATCATGATGACTTTGAACGAGTTGAGTAGCACATGTCAAATGCCCCTATGTTGAACCCACCTATCCCAATTCTCTAAGGACTAACTCAACCTAGACCATTAATCAAACCTGCTCCTCAACCTTTTCAATTACTTGATCCTTTAGTCTTCCGTCAATTATTTTAGGATTCGACCCCCAACCTACCACCACTTGCTTAGAATCCAATTTTATTTCATTAACTAAGATCATGACAATACTTGCTGAAACTTTTCACAATCTAATCTAACCCCAGCAGGTCCAATTTTTGACTAGAATATTCTAGATCGTATCTCCCATAACTTATCTAAATGGCACAATAGTTGTCACACCTAGTACCATTTCTTCCATATTTCCCTTTTCCAATTTCATAATTTGGTCTAGCTCCCAACTTGATAGCAAAATCATGTCCTCCCCTCGTTGATCTGCCTTAAGAGAATAACTCCCTTTAAAATCTCATAAGCCACTTAATGATCCTCCTTAGGAACCCCAGGGACAAAAGGAACTGATTTCCCGATCAGCTGAACTCTCGTTAGATGTTTGAGTCTAGCACTATGAGATGACCAGTAGTTGGAAGACATTAAGAAAGAGATTCATATAAGGAAAGCAGCTAGAAGCCGAGCCCTACTTAAGGTCTTCCTTCGTTAGACGTATTATAGAGAAATCAATCCAATCGGAGCTCCGAATGTTAACATTGGAATTATATAAAAGAAGTTCTAATAGGCCTATTGTATGTATAGTTTCATTCACTTCACAAATGACATTGTTCGGAATGGCGAACTCTCTTACATGTCATCTTTTCATGATAACTTTTAGGGATAACAAGAGAATGGTTCTCTAAGCTACTTCCAAAACCAATCTCCTCATTTGGGTAGCTTGCCAAGGAGTTCAAGCTCAACTTTATTAGTTACAAACTGCTAAAAAAGCTTACAACCTCCCTTTTGATAATCCATCAACAAATTCTCTAGTAAGCTATATGAAATGTTTCGATGATGAAGGTTGAAACAATTCAATGATAAAGTTTGATCGTTGACCCAAACTCATACATCATAACTAATGCATACATCGGTGAGCTCCAATCATATAAGTTTTACTATTTGGCCATCACACGACCTCTAGTCACATTCTTAGAGTTGTTATAAGAAGCAAATCGTGATATCATGATTGAATCTATTATTACGAAGAATAGAATCTTAGAACCTAGGAAGATAATGAAAGAGGAAAGAGCCCCTTGGTCTAATATTCTAGAATGACCGTATAACGATAGACTAAAGGGAGATCAAATTCTCTCCTATCGAGAATTTACCCTATTAAATACCTTTCATACTGAGGTATTTATGCAGATAAGGGAGAAGGGTCTCTTCTATATGCCTGATTTGCTATGAGCTCCATCTACAAAATAAAATTAATTAAAAATTATTATTTTTACCAAGTTCATGGGCACGGATGATTGTTATGACCTCAAGCAACAATTAGAAAAGCTCAATCAAACTGGGCACCTCCGCCACTATCTCCACAAGGTTCGAGAAACTTCTTTGAGACCTTAAGGGCCCATCGAGTGATAAGTTGATATGCTGGTTGGGGAGCCTACATAGAGAGAAACTAACACATCGAGTGATAAGTTGATGTGCTTATTGATGGCGCACAATCATAAGACTAAATGCACATGTCGATGACACCCTTGTCGAACGCCAATCATCTCCCTTTCAGTATCCATAGTAGCAGCAAAGTTGCTTCTTAGCTCAATAGCATGGCAAATGATAGATGGCAAATGACATGGTCCACATGCTGATTGCTCGAGGCTATGTTGACCACGTGTGGTCGGTAAGTGACAAATGGTTTGGGTGGCATGCTAACATCACGTGACTACACATGGCCGACACGCCGACCTCTCAGGGCCACGACGATCACACATGGCCGATATGTGGTAGATCGTTTGGGTAGCATGCTAACACCACATGGCTACACATGCTCGACACACCGATTGCTTGAGGCCATGATGGCCACATATGGCTAACGTCATATGTTTTCAACATGAATTGAGCCAACACACTAATTTGATTCGACCTGAGAATGATGCACAATCACCCCATGATCGTTGATGATATCGAGAGTAATGGTCTTCAGAGCTACCTATAAAAAGAGCTCCTCATATTCATTTCTCATACAAAAAAAAAAAAAAAAAAACTCCTCAGGAGAGTTTCTTGACTAGTCTAAATATTCCGAACCCAAAACTAACTTGACTATTAGATAAACATTTATCGGGAATACACTTGACTTAGTTTTGTAGGTCTAACTCTTCGAGGTGATGATTAGGACAAAGACCGATACAGAAAGGATCTTGGATCTAAATTTATTTTTAATTCGAACAATCAAAATCTAAACTACCAGCTATCAATTTCCTTGAAAACTTAAGTTGATGGATGAGATGAGATAATATTGTTTATATTTTAGGACACCCCCTCGAACGGGGGCTGGCTGGTTGAATGGCTCAAATCCAATATATGTGATTTGAATTTAATAGGTAAAAGAGTGGCTTACATTATCAAATCTCCCACTCTAGTATCATGTTAAAGCTATTAAATAGTTACATATCTTAATTGTTCTGTGAGTCGTACATAGAAAAGCATTTCAGCCATCCTTGCAAAGAAAGATATCGATTTACATCGTGATCGATATAAATCTCGAGTTGACTAACATATTTTGGTCAAATTATGCTGTTGTCTCTAGATTGGCATCCAAATCATCATTAGCTGTGAAGCGCGGTTTTGATTGGATCATCTACTCTGCCCCTTCCACCACCAAATATAATTTCAAACATTGCAACACCCTCGACAAATTCGTGACATTGATCGGAGCAATTTTTCCTGCCATCAAATCACCTTCTAGTCTACCAAGTTGAGGCAACACGAGTCCAATCACTCGGCATATAAGATCGTGACAACACACCGGAGACGTAAGCTAATTGGTTTCTCGAGGTTTTTCTTCCACGGCGTGTTCACCCATTTTTACATCTAAAACGTCCGTAATATTTCATAATCACGATAAATTTTAGTGTCAATTTATAGCTAC